CTGCAGTGCCCAGGGGCTCGGTGCTGCAGGGGAGGGCTCAGTAGGGGCACTCTGCCTGGGCAGCCCATGCTGCCCGAATGCCCCAGCCCTAGGGGATGCAGAACTCCAGGGAGCGGAGCTGGGAGGTCGGAAGGGGGCACTTCATGCCCCTCCCAACTGCTCTCCAGGAGAACACTGCTGCGGCCCCCCGCCTGTCCTCCCCCCCTCCCGCTTCAGCTTCTGCGGCACACGGACAAGGGCCAGAGTGTGGCCTGGTTCTCATCTGCCTGCACGTGCTCTGCCCAGAGATCCGGCATCCCACCCCTCTGATCTGAGGCAGCTCACAGAGCTGCTTGTGGGAGAGGCGGTGTGGTGTGTGTGTCCGTGCGGTGTGTGTGTGTGTCCATGCAGTGTGTGTGTCTATGCAGGGGGTGTGTGTGTCCGTGCGGTGTGTGTGTGTGTCCATGCAGTGTGTGTGTCTATGCAGGGGGTGTGTGTGTCCGTGCGGTGTGTGTGCATGTGCCCTATTCACTCCCCCTGCCCCCTGCAGAGCCCCAGCCCCCCCAGCTCTGCAGCAGCCTGGGCAGCGAATCGCGCTTTCGTAAGCGCCGTTATCTGCCAGCGCAAGGCTCCGTCCTTTGTTCTGCCAGGAGCGGCTGGCAGCTGAGATGTGATTAGCCCCTCACAGCAAGAACAAAGCCTTCCCAGGAGGGGGGACCATTGTCTCTGTCCCCTCATTCATGGCTGACGCAGCAGGGCCACGTCAGCCCACTCAGCCCACAGTAATAGCCCGGTAACTGTCTCTGGCCAGGCTGTGGGGGCGCTCAGCCTGCCGAAGGACAGGCGTTTGCAGCTCTCGCCTCTGCTGGGTGGAGCCCGTCTGCTGTTGGCAGGGCCTGGCTGGGCTCCTAGCAGCCCTTGGGCTGACTTTGGTCCAGGCCTCAGGCCTTGGGCTGGGCCCAGGTGTCAGGCTCTGCCGACTCCAGGGGTATTTGGGACTTGGGGCGCGCTACCAGCTGCTGCAGCCCTCACTGCTCGCAGCCTCTCTCCTCCCAAAGGGGGCAGTTCTCGCCACCTCAGCCTGTGGCCATTTGCAGACCCCTTTGTCGCTATGGATACGGCCCTTTGCTGGGGACCCCTTAGACACAGGCCCACAGCTTGAGACCCGCTGCTCTCAGAGACTCTCCGACAGGGCAGCGGCTCTCAAACGTTAGCAGCCTGAGGACCCCTGTTTTCATCTTCAGTTTTTTGTGGACCCCCACGTCCTGCTTCCATGCTCATTCCCACTCCACTCCTTTCCCTGTGGCACCCCCGTCGCCCTGCCTCTTCCCCGCTTCTTTCTGCCCCTCCCCTGAATGGCCCTTCGCTGTCCCCCGCGTCTCCTGCACACTATAGAAAGGCAGGAGGTACTGGGAAGGCGGGAGAGGCATTGATCAGCAGGCCCGGTGGACCCCCTGGAGTACCCTCACAGACCCCCAGGGATCCATGGACCCCAGAATGAGAAGCACTGAGACGGAGGACGCAGTCTTGAACCCCAGAAACGAACCATCTCACAGTGCTCAAAACTTTCTCTTGAGCAATGCAAGCTCATGAATGCGTGCGCCCTTTTTTCAAGGGGCAGGGGACGTGCACCAGCCTTTGTAATCTGAGCAGCTTCCCCAAGGACATTAGACAGGCGCACTGGGAAGGATAAAGCATCACAGTAAGTTTAGCGACTCTAGAAGGATGGATTTGAGGGGCTAAGTGGTCCTGGCATGGACGAGACGAGGTGATTACATAAGAAATAACAAGTAAGCCTGTAATCTAAATCCTAAATGATAGCAGCCTAAGCCGGATCGGAATCAAACTGGTTTTCTCACCTACAGGATGTTAGAGGCAGAATTTAGTTCACAGTCAGCGGCCTCCCACACAAAAGAAGTTCCCCGCCTCTGAGGTAGACAAAGCCTCAGGAATGGTTAGGAGGGGTGCACCAGAAGAGCATATTTTCCTTATTGGGCCATCAACACATGGCCGGCTAGTCCTGACGCAAATCTGTCTGGTGGGTGTGAGCTGCTCCTTTGTACCAGTGAAAGGCCAGCTGCAGCTCAGCCTTTTCCCCAGGAATTGAATTGGAGGGAGAAAGTTTACGGGGTGTGTGTGTCAAGGTCAATGAGCCTGTGAGGGAAAAGGGGGTAGCACAGGGGTCTCCAACCTTTTTAAGCACGAGATCACTTTTTGAATTTAAGTGCAATCCAAGATCTACCTCAAACCCAAACTCCCTTGCCTTGCCTCCTCTGTGCCACTTCTCCGACGCCCGCCCCTGCTCCCTCTCTCCTCTCTCACTTTCACCAGGCAGGGGCAGTGGGTTGGGGTGTAGGCTCTGGTCTTGGATTAAGGGATTTGCAGAGTGAGGGAGGCTCTGAGCTGATCTTAGGGCAGGTAGTTGGGGTGCCGGAGGGGGTTCTAGATGCAGACTCTGACAGGGCATTTGGATGCAGGGGTGCTCGGGGCAAGGACGGGAGCTTGGGGCACAGGACACAGTCAGGGCGTTCATGACTGGGGAGGATTTCAAGATGTGGGTAACAACTGGGCCCTGCTTAGCCCAGGTGGCTCTTGGTTGGTGGTTCAGTGGGCTAAGGCAGGCTCACCCCTGCCCTGGCCCTAAAGCAGCCCGCAAACTCCCTCCCAAGTCCTGATCTGCCCCCTCTCTGCTCTGTGGAGATAGGATAGAGGGTGGGAGAGGAGGCACCTTTGACATCAGTGCCCCTCTTCTCCCTCCCCTGCCCTGCGCAGAAAGCAGGAGGCTCCTGGGAGTGGGGAGAGGCAGCTCCAATGCAAAGGGCAGATGTGCAGCAGCCGGGGGAGGGGCAGCTGGTGTACTTGCACTTGATCACTGGTTGGTGATCACTGGGGTAGTATAAGAAATGCAAAGCAGTGCACATTGGAAAGCACAATCTCAACGAGACATACAAAATGTTGGGGTGTAAATGAGCTGTCCCCACTCAAGAGAGAGATCTTGGCGTCACGTGGATAGTTCTCTGCAAATATCCACTCCATGTGCAGCGGCAGTCAGAAAAAGCTGTTGAGAGCTGTTAAGAAAGGCGAGACATAAGATATAATAAAACCACTATATAAATCCATGGGACACTCACATCTTGAATACTGTGCACAGTCTGCTCACTCCCGCCCCAATATATTGGAATCGGAAAAGGTCCAGAGACAGGCTGCTAAAATGATTATCGGTTTGGAACGGGGAGAGATTAAAATGACTGGGACTTCTCAGCTTGGAAAGGAGACAACTAAGTGTAGCTACAATAGAGGTCTATAAAATCTTGACTGGTGGGAAGAAAGTGAATCAGGAAATGTTATTTAATCCTTCACATAGCACAAGAACCAGGAGGAATCCTGTGGTACCTTAAAGATTAACAGCTTTATTTGGACATAAGTTTTCATGGGTGAAACTCACTTCGTCAGGCTGCAGGACTCCTTGGCTGTGTCTAGACTGGCCAGTTTTTCCGGAAAATCAGCCGCTTTTCTGGAAAAACTTGCCAGCTATCTACACTAGCCGCTTGAATTTCCGCAAAAGCACGGACTTCCTACTGTAAGAAATCAGTGCTTCTTGCGGAAATACTATTCTGCTCCAGTTCAGGCAAAAGTCCCTTTTGCGCAAAGCTTTTGCGCAAAAGGGCCAGTGTAGACAGCTCAGATTTGATTTCTGCAAAAAAGCCCCGATTGCGAAAATTGCGATCAGGGCTTTTTTGTGGAAAAGCACATCTAGTTTGGCACAGACGCTTTTCCACAAAAAGTGCTTTTGCGGAAAAGCGTCCGTGCCAATCTAGACGCTCTGTTCTGAAAATGCTTTTAACGGAAAACTTTTCAGTTAAAAGCATTTCCGGAAAATCATGCCAATCTAGACGCAGCCCTTGTTTTTGCGGATACAGGCTAACACAGCTACCCCTGGGATCAGAACTGGGGCTCCCCAAATGAAATATCAACCACCATCCAAACCTGATCACTTGTGCAACACCATGATGTTACTAGCTGACACTTGAGGGGAGGTGTTGGGGAATTTCATGACAGGGGAGATCTGGGGAAATCCCTGCTGTGGGTATCTCCCAGGCTCACAGCAGAGGCACAGGTTCTAGCCTACCGTACAATGGCAATGTGTATAATTTTACAGGATAGTGATGGTCCGCAGATCAGGACTTCTCAAATGATGCCTCCCAAGTCATCTTTGTCCAGAACAGATCCCTGTCCAAGGGGGAGATGTGCAAGGTGGCACTCTGAGGTACCCCTAGCTGCACTAGCTCTTCCCCACAATGTATTTCTAGAGCTGTCAGGTCTCCTCTCAGCCTTTTGCTAGGCCACACAACAGGAGCCGAGCCCTCTCAAAGCACATGGGGGTGAGGGGAGAGATTGCAGTTGGAGCTGGCGCACCCGAGTGAGCTTCCATCTAGCTTGCTCGGGTGCGGGAGCAGTGAAACCCCAGAGGTGTGGGCAGCAGCAAGGGCCAGCTGCCCGTGTGTTACCCAGGGGTCTTTACAGCTCATGTTGACACTCTCACCAGTACCCGAGCTAGCTAGGCCCAAGCTGGTGCGGGTCTGTCTACACCAGCCTGCAGTGGAGCCAGGCAGGGCGTCTCCCCCGGAGCTGGAGCTGAGCTGTACCCCTACAGTCCTGCTGACTCATGCGTGTGGGCAGCAGCAAGGGCCAGCTGCCCGTGTGTTACCCAGGGGTCTTTACAGCTCATGTTGACACTCTCACCAGTACCCGAGCTAGCTAGGCCCAAGCTGGTGCGGGTCTGTCTACACCAGCCTGCAGTGGAGCCAGGCAGGGCGTCTCCCCCGGAGCTGGAGCTGAGCTGTACCCCTACAGTCCTGCTGACTCATGCCTGCTAAGGCTTTGCAGTGTCCCAGCTCCAGAACACCCTTCAAGCCAGCAAACCACCCCCACAGATGGGTTTGCTTCAAATTCGTGCTGAGTTTATGACTCAAATGAGCTTGTGGGCCAGTGTTTCCGGCACAAAGGCGTTTTACACAGCAGCCTGGGAGAGAATGTATTCTCCTACCTGTTCTATCTAAATCCTAGCAACAGCTGGGACTGGGCCTGGGTGAAAGGGGGGGGGTCTAACTGGCAGCACCAAGTGGGGGCTGTTGTGCTCAGGTCACTCATCTCCACACAGAGCAGGCGGGTTACCCTAGCTCAGGTAGTAAAAACCATGACACTCTGTGGCCAGGGAAGCTGTAGGGGAAACTGAGGCAGGGCTGAGTGTTGACGTGGTAGTAATCCAAGCCAGGGAAATGGAGGCTGCTAAGGGGCACCGAGGACATACAATACCTGCCAGAGGCTGGGGAAAGCTCAGGGTAAGAGTGAAGCCCTGCTCTAGCGGATGCAGAAGGAGCTGTGGAACTATCTGATGGTCGTGAAAATGTAACTGGCACTGATGGGGAGGCAGAGGAGATGCCGCTCACCCCAGCTCAGTGTGTGAGAGGGACCAGAATCCTGACCCACTCCCTGCAGCACAGCACCCCAGGGGTCAGAACTGACTGCGAGGGGAGAGGCCCCTAGTGAGCCTTCTCTGCCCTGCAAACGTACTGGGGTCAGCACTGACTCCTGCAGCACAGCGCCCCCTGCTGAGCCTCCTCTGCCCTGCTCCCTGCAGCACAGCGCCCCCTGTGCCACACTGGGTCACCTTTCTCCCATTGCTATGCCCTTGCAGCACCAAGCACAACAAGCAGCAGATTTCGGACGGCGTCTCCAGGTGCTTCCACACTGAGAGGAGTGTTTGCCCTTCTCTAATTGGATGGAGACACTGGGCCCAACAGGCCATGCAGCCGAAGGCTTGTGTTCTAAAAGACAAAGTCCTAGCCAAGACACCAGCTAGTGTCGGACCAGTGGGCAGCTGTGGGGATCATTAATTAGTTGTATATGCCCACGCCCACATGCTGGGGGAGCTAGGGATGAGACCCTTACAATCTTCAGTCTCCTATCTTTACAGCCAGCCTGCTGCATAAGGAGGCATGAATGGGGGTGAAGACAATTCTGCATAGATGACAGTCCCTGTAGCAACTGCATGGGGCTTGGAGGGACAAGTCCAGGTTGCAGGAGGGAAGAGTTTGGAAGAGGCACTTGGAATTTAGTCTGGGTGCACATGGCTGGAATGTCACTGTAAATAGATCTCTCAGTCCAAAGTCAGTTGAGTTTTTGGGAAACAATCCCCAGACACAATGAGCCTGCTGTGCTTAAGGTCTGTGGTGTTACTCCTGAGTGCTCTCCATGTGGAAAGCATGTCAGGTTCTGGGTCCCTTCGGTGCCCTTTGCTGGGAACCCCCTATCCATGCAGAAGCAGGCTGTTCCTGGCACTGGCTGCAAAGGAAATCACTCCATGTGATTGTTCTTGGCCCCTGGAGAGGGAGGTGTGTTTAATTAGTGCAATGTTCTCTCTTTGCTGTGGTGTGAGTGACAGCTATGCCCTTGGCTGCTGCTGTACAGGCATCCCCAGCCAGCTGTTCCCATTCCCTTGAGCCCCTTTGCACCAGGCACACTCCTCAAAAGGGGAGCCAGACAGGCTGGAGGGCAGTGTCAATCTGTCTTGTGTGGGTACCTTTCTGTTATTTCCGCAAGGACAGACTGGGGTTGGGCTTGGCTTGGGACAGCCCAGGCTGCTGCAGGGAGAGTAGAGGGGTGATGGAAGCTGCCTAAACTGTGCCCAAACCATGGCCCTGCCCCTTCACTCTGCCCCTTGCCCCCAACAGCCCAATCCTTTGTTACCCCTTCCTCCCACAGGTGCCTGGCTCCCCCGTTCTGGTGCCCAGTGCTGCACCCAGTGTCCCCAGCTGGCCCTAGGAGGCGTTGTGCTGCAGGGGAGGGGCTCTACGGGGATATGCTCCCCTTGGAACAGCACTGATTAGAAATCTTTCTGGGCAGAGTGACAAACCATGAGCAGGGATCCAGGCCGTGGAGCATTTTGCAGCTCAGACTGGCTCTGCGTGCTCCCTTTTGGCCTTACTAGCTATGAACCCTAACTGGAAGGAAGCCACTCTTCCCCCAGAGCAAGAGGCTATGTCTGCACAGCAGCGTTATTCCGAAATAACGTTGTGCACATCTACACAGCAAGTCCATTATTTTGAAATAAATGTGAAACAACGGGCTTCTGACTCCCACTCCTGTAACCCATGTTGTACGTAAGGGAAGTCATGGAAGTCAGGGGAAAAGAGCTCTCTCTCAAAATGACTGCTGTGTAGACAGCGCCAAAAGGCAAAAGAAGCTATTTTGACTTCAGCTACACAATTAGCATAGCTCAAGTCGCATGGCATATTTTGAGTTTAGCCTTGCTGCGTAGATGGGCCCAGAGGGTCCAGTCCACACGTGGGACATACTGGTTTGAAACCAATTTAAATCAAACCAGTGCAACTTCTGCATGTAGCCAAACCAAAATTGACACCGGATTCCCGTGGAAATTCCCACTCTCCTTGGCTGCTCTGTCAGTCCCAGCAGGAAGGAACAACCCCCGGTCTATCTGGGAAGGCTGAGCCGCCTGCTACAGCTGGCCTCTGTGTTGCCTAGGACGGAGGAGGGAGACTTTCCACCTTGCTCATGATGTGGCTCTGCTGGTGGGCTGCTTCTGGGGCAGTTCCGTGGCATTCCCCGGTAGAGTTGCCCCTTCTGCACCCATAGGTGTGCTGCTTTAACTGCTAACGTGGTACCCTCTCCCCTAGTGCTGCTGAGCCTTGTGTTAGTAGCTACCCTACACTGTCCCCAGTACCATCGGGCAACTCACCAGAGCCCTGCAATGAACGGGCTGGGGCTGGTGGGGAGACAGATTTGCACGCTGCTGATTTACAGAGTCTGTGCATGTTCCCATCTTGGCCCAGGATGAAATACTGCCAGGCGGGTGCCAGTGGAGCTGGGAATTAAAACTGGATCTGGATTGGCTGTGATTTGTGTGATTACTTTTATGGTTGGTATAATTTGTCAGAGGGGAGTGCTTGGTATCTGCCACTGTCCATCTGTCCACATCTCCCCATGTGCGCCTGTCTCTCATACCCATCTCCTACACACCCTTCTAGCTGTGCATCTCTTGAGATTTCTTGTATTAGTACCTGTCACTGTAGCAGCTGATGGCTAAGAGGCATAAGAAAGGCTTTTCATCGGCAGAAGCCAGGACAAAAGCCTTCGAGAGCCTGCAGTGCCCATTAATTAATGAGGCAGGAGACAGAGTCAATAGGGGCCCCACAAGAGGGAGCTTCTGGACAACACACTGCAAATTGGCTATTGATAGAAGGCAGGTGACATTCACAGGCCCAGTTGGTGCGCCTCCAGGGGTGTGAATCCGCTAACAACCTCCTAGGCCTGGTGTTCTTCTTTGTGACAAAGCGAAGTGAAGTGCGGAAATGGGAAGCAGGGAGACCTGCCAGGGACGGCAGCGGGGCTGAGTACTGTCCCTAATAAAATCAAGGAACATGTTGTTTTATCAAAACAACCGGCCACGGGTAGGACATAAGGCAGGTGGATGAAGGAGTCCTGATGATGCCAGGCCATGCAGAGCCCCTCTTCTGGGATGAGGTTAAAGTGGCTGGAGATGGGAATATGACCAGGGTGAGCCATTTTGCTGTCAGCAGAGTTGAATAGGTACGGCACTCCAAGCACTAGGGAGTGCTGTGCTGCAGGGAGTGGGACGGGTGCTCAGCAGGGTGCGCTGTGGGTCAGGGAGCAGTGTGGGGGCTCTGCAGGGGGCGCTGTGGGGCAGGGAGCAGTGTGGGGGCTCTGCAGGGGGCGCTGTGGGGCAGGGAGCAGTGTGGGGGCTCTGCAGGGGGCGCTGTGGGGCAGGGAGTGGGAGGGTGGCTCAGCAGGGTGCGCTGTGGGGGCTCTGCAGGGGGCGCTGTGGGGCAGAGCAGGGAACAGGGTTGGGGGGGAACAGCCCTGGTGCCCTGCTGCAGGAAGCTGGGTGGGAGACCCAGCAGGGGGCCTGTGGGGCAGCGAGCAGGCGTTGCAGGCTGTTCCTCACGCTGACGAAGCTCCGAGCTGGGGGGGGATTTACGAACCGCTCCCACCCCCCATTTCTGCTCCGCTTGCTCCCCCCAGTGGAGCTGCTCGGCGAAGCCTGGCCAAGTGGCTCCTTCCGCGCTGTGGGCTCTGCCCCGCGCGGTGCCCGGCGCGTGGCTCGGTCCCCCGCGACACCCGTGGCAAGAGCCGGGGCGGGTTTTCTGCCCTGGGTCGCAAGGATTTCACCGCCTCTCTCCAGATGCCGCTCCTCCAGCGGAGCGCGCCGGTGTAGTTTTGCTCACTACACCGGCTCATTCCCAGCAAAGGCAGCAGCAGCCCTGGCTGGGAATAGAGCCCAGGAGCCCGGACACCCCCGCCGCTCTAACCACTAGTCCCCGCTCCGCTCCATACAGTTTGGCCCCAAGCTGCCACGTCTGCCGGCAGGAGCCGAGGGGAGCCCGTGGCAAAGCGCTCGTGGATCCCAGCCAGGCGAGGGGGCTCGTTCCTCCCCACTCCCGGGGGGGCCTGTGAAACCCCCGCCGGGAGGAGCCCCCCGCGCTGGCTCCCCTCCCTGTGCGGCCAGCCTCCGCCCCGCAGCCAATCAGACCTCGCCGCTCCTTCCCCCCATTAAGTTCAGCGGGAGTCAGGGAGCCGCTCTCCGCCTGGCTGCAGACCCGCGCTGGCAGCCTCGGGGATGGGAGAGCGCAGCCCAGCGCGCAGCCCGTCTGCCCGGCGCTAGCCCCCCCTTGCAGGACAGAGCAGGTGAGAGCTGCGGTGCCGGGGGGACTGGGAGCAGCTTGGGGGGAGGCTGAGCCCATCCACCCCAGCAGCAGCAGGAGTCCTGGCTCCCAGCCCCCGGCTCTAGCCACTAGACCATGTTCCCCTCCTCGAGCCAGGGATAGAATCCAGGAGACCTGGTGCCCAGCTCCTTCTACTATAACCACTAGGCCCTTTACCCCCAGAGTAGGAAATAGAACCCAGCGGCCCCTCCTCCCTCATTGCCATGAAGGGGACCCAGCAAGGGGCCAGCTCAGCACAGCACCCACTGGCTGGCCCAGGGAGCAGATGCCCTGCTGGGCTAGGAGGGGTGGCCAGGAGCTGATCACAGTGAGTGGAGTGAAGTGAATGGAGGCGGGGGTCCAACTCAGCAGGGGGGACATCTCGGGGTGATGGTTGTGGGACAAAACCAAGGCACTGGGAGCAGGCTGTTTCAGGGTGGGGGGGGGAGGATGTTGCTGGGTCTGACTTCTCTGCCCCCTCTCAGCTGGATCAACTGCCATCCCCTGCCTCACTTTCCCCTGTTTACATGTTCTCCCCATAGCAAAGGAGCTGGGCAGGGCTGGCACATTCGGGTCCCAGCTCCAGTGCCCGCCTGCCCCAGGGCTCCGAGACATGGCAGACTCATTGAGGATGAACACAGAGCCCTCCCTGTCGGACAGCTGGCTGGACAACTGCTCTTGGGCACCAGTGCCCACTTCTGCCCTGCAGCTAGACATGGGAGCACTGGGGGACCCTGGCAGAAATGGGCTGTGGATCTTTAACAGCAGCGGGGAGGACATGTCCCCCCCTTTCCTGACGGATGCTTGGCTGGTGCCACTCTTCTATGCCCTTGTCATGCTGCTGGGGCTGGTGGGCAACTCGCTCGTCATCTACGTGGTGTCCAAGCACCGGCAGATGCGCACGGCCACCAACTTCTACATCGGTGAGCATCTCCCTTCCCCCGGCTGGTGCCTCAGCACCACATCCCCTGGCGCCACCCCTCTCCAGGGCTGGATGCCCCAAAACCAGCCTCCCCCATCACTGGCACCATCCCTCTCCCAGCTGGGTACCCCAGTGCCAGGCCTCCCCGCTAAGCACCATCCCTTCCCTGCCTAGGTGCCACCTTCCATTCCTGGACATCTTCCCTTCCTTGGCTGGGTGCCCCAAAGCCAGCCTCTCCCATCACCTGGCACCACCCCTCTCCCAGCTGGGTGCTCCAGTGTCAGTCGCTCCCTCGGACACCATCCTCCCCTGGCTGGGTGCCTCAGTGTCAGCCCCCATCTCTGGACACCATTCCTCATCCAGCTGGCTGCCTTTCTCCAGCCCTGGGCATCTTCTCTCCCCAGGCTGGGTGCCCCAGCTTCACCCCCCCCCCCCTTCCGGGACCCCTCCTTCTT